AATTTATTAATAATTGCTAAATAAGAAAATAGAATATGATACTACTAGCTATTTATATCCAATATTGGAAGAATTTTAAATTCAAGCGTCGATGAGTGAATTATTAGTAAAAAATTAAATCCTTGATTATAGAGGATCAGAATATCAGAATTAGAAATGAAAATTTAAATTTGAAGAATAAGGCACTAAATAATATGCATAGATGAAAGAACCTTCAAGATAATTAACTAAACATAAAAGGAATTAGGAAATTACATCTTATTTACTCTAGTATGAAAAGAATTCTTAAATCATGTGATTATATGTTAGTCACACTTTATTTAGGTTGCGAGGTAATATAAGTAATCATCGGTTCTAGGGATGCATATATAATTAAAATTAAGGGAATGTCTCGATAATTTGGTATATAAGATATTCCAGAGATTTAGGAAATACAGGTATAATAGAAGAGTTAATTTTATTTGTTTATTTTTCAATTATGGAAGATCGAGAGGAAGGAAGAATAATAAGACTGCAGAGACTCTATAAGGATATTGAATATAACTTGATTAAGCTTGTCATTTGAACCTTTGCTTTAATATAAGTAGAGAGTAATTTATAAAGTACATATTTTAAGAAGGATAAGGGTGAAAAAGCTCATAGATCCTTGAAAGAGAGAGGAATTAGTATTCTCATTTAAAGATATAATAATATTATAAACATCAGATGGTGAAAAAGCCTATCAATGGGAAGTAGAAAATTTTGAGGAATTACAGAGGGACTTACTTTAGAAGGACTTACTTTAGAATTGAGTTGCTTAATGTTTGATGGATACAGGATTAATTATCTATATGAGACCTGGAGATGAGAATTTAGAGGTCTTCCATGAAAATAATATTAAATGATTGTTTTGTCTATGAAATTGATGGGAATTAATAGCTAAATCAAATGGAAAATTTAATTTTTTGGATATATTGTTATGATAATAAGAGTAGTATAGATTGTATTGTATGATGCCAATTAACACAGGAAAGATATACCTAGGCCAAATAGGTGGATATATGTGTTAAAATTGAGATCGCC